CCTCTTCAAGCCTCAATCCTCTTTTTATTATTTTGAGACAGAGTTTCACTAAGTTGCTCATACAAAACTTTGAACTTTGGATCCTACCTCTTCAACTCCCAAAGTAGGTGGGATCATAAGCCTGAGCCTCAGGGCTTGGTTTAAAATCAGTTTTCTAAAATACATAGGGATCACATCTAACTTCCTCCCAACAAAAAAAGGGTTCAAGAAACCTGAGTGTAGTGGTACATGCTTTTAACTGCAGAGGCAGAGGCAGGTGGATCTCTGTGAGACCAAGTCCTGCCTGGTCTACATAGCAAGTTCCAGGCCACTTGGTGCTACAGGGAGACCTTGACAAAATAAATAAATAAAGAAATGTACAAAGAAACACAGTCTCAGGATGAAAAGCAATCTAACAATTGCCCATTGAAGCTGCAGTAAATGCCCACAAGCATGTCTTCATTTTAGAGTGGCAAGATACAAAATACAAAAAACTCTAACACAGGAAGACTTCCTCCATGTTAATAAAGAATCTGATATATAAATATTCCTATAACTTTACAAAAGGCTAACAATGCTGGGGATGGAATCCAGGACATGGTTATGGTAGGCAGGGGCTCTACCACTGAGCCACACCCCAGCCCCTCACTGGGGAATTCCAGGCAGGTGCTCTACCACTGAGCCACACCCCAGCCCCTCACTGGGGATTCTAGGCAGGGGCTCTACCACTGAACAATGCCCCTTGAAGCAGGAAGAGGAATAAAGAGGAGAGAGAATTGAGGGGAAGGAGAAAGAGAGGGGAGAGAGAAAAACAAAAGAAAAAGGGGGCCTGGAGAGATGACTCAGTGGATAAGAGAGCTGCTCTTACAGAGACCCCAAGCACCATGCTGGGTGGCTTACAACCACCAGTAACTCCAGCTGCAAAAGGATCCAATGCTTCTGGCCTCTGGGGAACCCACGCTCATGTGCACATACCCACACACATACACATAATTAAAAAATAAAAAAAGCCAGGCATGGTGCGCAAGCCTTTAATCCCAGCACTCAGGAGGCAGAGGCAGGTGGATCTCTGTGAGTTCAAGGCCAGCCTGGTTTACATAGTGAGTTCCAGGACAGCTGGGGCTACAGGGAGACCCTGTCTCAAAAAGACCAAAAAAAAATTAAATTAAATTAAATTTAAATTTAAATTAAAAAATAAGGGCTGGAGAGACGGCTCTTGCAGAGGACCAGCACCCACATGGCAGCATACAATCACTGTGACTCCTGTTCCAGAAATCCAATGCTTTCTTTCTGGCCCCCTAGGCACTGCATGCACATGGTCCACACAGATGCAGGCAAAACACTCATACATAAGATAAAATCTTTAAAACATAAATAATGCCAGGTGTGGCGGCGCATACTTTTAATTCTAAAACGCAGGAGGCAGAGGCAGGCAGATTGAAGTCAGCCCTGGTCTACATAGTAAGTTCCAGGCCAGCTGGAGCTACAGGGAGATCCTGCTTCAAAAAACAAAAACTATGAAAATTTTCCATCGTTAATTGGATGTGGTGCCTTGTTATTTTGTGTTTTTCTTTCAGACTGCTACCGCATCTCAAATTACCTATGATGGGAGGTAGAGGTTTAACTTTGTGTCCAGATGGCTGGCCCTTTGCCTCAGCATCATTTATTATGAAGTTGGACCTGGATTTAACTCTCAGTCCTGACAATTACTAACGGGGTGACTTGGGACCTGAACAATTTTTCGACATAGCTGACCACGTCCTTCTTGAAATGTTCTCTATGTTCACTTCCTTTAGCTTCTGTAACCGGACATTGTCTTGGGCTTCCTTCTGCTTCTCTGGCTTGCCTCCTCTCTCTTCCTCTCTCTTCCTCTCTCTCTCTCTCTCTCTCTCTCTCTCTCTCTCTCTCTCTGCCCCCTCCTTTCTTTTCTTTCTTCCTACTCATTCTTCCCTCCTGGACCACCATACACACCCTCTTATTCTAAGTCCTGGCTTGAACCACCACTGATATCCCAGGTCTCTGTCTAGTCTGGCATTCTGAGCCAAGTTCAGGATCTGTGTGCTTCCTCCCTGCTTTAAACTCCCACATGGATGTCCCAGGGGCAAGTCCAATGTCAGCTGATTTTCTCCTTTACAGCAAGACTTTCAGGAGTCCCTACTCAAGACGATGGTAACACCATCTGCCTGCTTCAAAAGCTATAAATCTTAGCACCCTTCTTTACTGACTCTCGTTCCCTCTCCTCCTGTATCTAGCACCCAAGACGATGCTGGGCACACCACAGGCACCCAATCCACCCCCAAGTCATGTAGCTCTTACCTCCTTTTTTTTTTTTTTTTTGGTCTTTTTGAGACAGGGTCTCCCTGTAGCCCCAGCTAGCCTGGGTGGTCTTGAACTCACAGAGATCCACCTGCCTCTGCCTCCCAAGTGCTGAGATTACAGGCGTGTGCCACCACACCCGACCAACTTTATATTTTTTAAATTATGTGTATTTGCTGGCATGGTGGTGCACACCTTTAATCCCAGCATTTGGGAGGCAGAGACAGGTGGATCTCTGTGAGTTCAAGACCACCCAGGCTAGCTGGGGCTATAGGGAGACCCTGTCTCAAAAAAATTATGTGTATTTGTGTGTGTGTGTGTGCGTGTGTGTGTGTGTGTGTGTGTGTGTGTGTGTGTGTGTGTGAAAATATGCACGTGAGTGCAGTGCCCTCAGAGACCAAAGGGTATCAAATCCCCAGAAGCTGGAGTTACAGGAAGTTATGAGCCACCCACATGAGCACTGGGAACCAAACTCAGGTCCTCTGCAGTGTGAGCTCTTAACCACTGACCCATCTCTCCATCCCCCTCCTAACTTTATCTAACCTAATGAGCCACCTCTGTTAATACTTCTGTTCCCTCCACCTTGACCACCATTTCCTTTTGCCTGGATTTTGTTCTCTCTCCTCCTCAGTGATCTCCCTAGCAGGCACTCTGGCCCTTGGCCCTGTGAGACGGAAGCTCAGAATCTGACCAGGTCTTTTCTGAAGGTCATCGTCAACATGAGTAATATTTGCTGCTAGCTTTGCTAGCTTCTCATGACCCTTACACTGAATCCCAAGCTCCTCACCATTATAGACAGTATGTGCTGACCTTTTCCCATCTGTGCCCCATCCCTGCCAAATCCTTACCTTCTTATGACACCTGAACATGCTGAATTTTCATTGCCTACTCTGCCCCCATGGACCCTGTACAAGAGCCAAACAGAGGAATCTTGGGAAAATAGGAACTTGAAACTTTAAGATTACAAAGAACTGCTGAGGACACGGCTCAGTGGTCGAACACCTGCCTAGAATCCCCCAGTGAGGGGCTGGGGTGTGGCTCAGTGGTAGAGCTCCTGACTAGAATTCCCCAGTGAGGGGCTGGGGTGTGGCTCAGTGGGAGAGCCCCTGCCTAGAATCCCCCAGTGAGGGGCTGGGGTGTGGCTCAGTGGTAGAGCTCCTGACTAGAATTCCCCAGTGAGGGGCTGGGGTGTGACTCAGTGGTAGAGCCCCTGCCTAGAATCCCCCAGTGAGGGGCTGGGGTGTGGCTCAGTGGTAGAGCACCTGCCTAGAATTCCCCAGTGAGGGGCTGGGGTGTGGCTCACTGGTAGACACCTGCCTAGAATCCAGTGAGGGGACAGGAATGTGGCTCAGTGGTAGAGTACCTGCCTAGCATCCCAAGTGAGGGGCTAGGGGAGGGGCTCAGTGGTAGGGTGCTTTTCTTCTATGCACAAGACCCTGGGTTCAATATGCAGCCCCACAAAAAAAAATCATTTAAACAGAGAAAACAGATTAAGGAAAAATGTGAAAGAACTTTTGAGAATGAGAGGTGTTCCAAGGGAGGAATACCCAAAATCATTTAAAGTGAGAGAAAAGAGGGAGAAGAAGCTAGGAAGTCTGCCCTGAAGCCTGATGTGTCCATAGGAAGGTGTGGGGAGGGGAGCCTGGACAGGACAGAAGCCCCAGGGAAGCTCTCCACATCACCTGAACCTACTGGGCTAGTGACTGCTCCTCTCTGCACTCAGTCACTCCTCTCCAGAATGGAGCTGCCACTGTCACCCATGCAAACCACCATGTGGCCAGGAGCTGACCTCAGAGAGTCCTGGTGACATTAACATGATACTATATGCCAGACAGCCAAGTGCCCAACTCTGGTCCATTCATGTAATTCCTTCTCAGCCCTAAGAGTTGGAAACCTTGTTATCACCCCCATATTTGTAGGTGGGGAAAAGGCACAGAGAAATTAAGTCACTGGCCAGGGCTCACACAGCAGAAAGTGGATGTGGTTCAAAGGGAAGGGGCCTGACTGAATCCAGATCTGAGGCGCGAGGCCCTACTAGTAGTCTGCCATTTCTTGGCATCTTCCTCTCTTCAAACTTTTCTTCTCGGCTGTGAGAAAGGTTTCCCCACACTTAACCTCTTGCCCCATACTTAGCCTCTGGGCATATGGTTGCAAGACTTGAGCACTATCAGCCTTGAACCCAGGAGAAGCTCTGTAACCAGGCGTGGTGGTGCAGACGTGTAATTCCAGAACTTGGGATGTGAAGACAGAGGGATCAGGGAGTTCAAGGTCCTCTTTGGCTACATAGTGAATTGGAAGCCATCCTGGGAGACTTTGTCAAAAAAGGGAAGTTTGGTTATATCCAACCCTTCAGGAAGGAGTATGTGCCAAAGCCTTGGGCCCCTCTCTCTCCTGTGCAAGTTCCTCATCAGTTACACAATGCCCCACTGAGGTGAGACAAAGCTAGGCAAAGATCCAGCCTCCAGCCTTGAAATTTCCAGAAGTCACAGAACCAGGTGTCCTAATAATTGAGCTTGTGTCTCTCTACCTAACCCAGGCTCAGACCTCAGATCACACCTCATCCTGGACCCACCCTTGCCAAATAAGGAAGCTGGCCTGAGGTCCCTTGTGAAAGGTCCAGAAAGTCCCTCCCTTACCCCATGAGGCAAGCCCCTCCGCCACCCTGCCGCAGCAGATAAAAGTCTGCAGGACCAGGGCAGAGCTCATACCCAGCCCTGAGGACTCTACCCGTCATGTCCAACTCCTGTGTGTTGCTCACCTGGGCTCTCCTTGCCCTCCTGGGACTTGGAACCTGCTGTGGTCCCATGGTGCCCAGGAGCGAGTGGAAAGCGAAGGCATCCAAGTGCTCCACTGGCCTACAGCAGCCAATCCGCTACGTGGTGATATCGCACACGGCGGGCAGCACCTGCGACACCCCAGCATCGTGCCAGCAGCAAGCCCGCAATGTGCAACACTACCATATGAACACGCTGGACTGGTGCGACGTGGGCTACAAGTGAGTGCTGGGGAGGCGGGAGGCCAACAGCCTGAGTTCTAACCCTCCTGGTGATGGATCTGGTATCTCCCTCAGGTGTGACAGGGCTTTCCTCTCCGTAGGAGGGAACAGGTTCAGTCTCACATGAACTAAGGTGTCTTCTATTCTTCCATAAGGAAATGTTTTCAAAAAGGCCCATCCATGCCCTGCCTGGACAACACCAGGCTGATTAAGCTGGGCACCAGATCCCAGTACCACCAGTCTGAAATAGATGCTGTGGGTGCAGCTTCCTCTTCCCAAACAGGAATGGGGCTGTGGCTCCCAATGTAACATACCTAGGACACTAGCTAGCAGGAACTGCAAATCTAAGGGCTAATGTCTATGGATCAGGGTACCACATGGGGACACTTCTGGAACATTGTTACTCTAGCCCTATGTGCTTAAAGACAGACCAAAGAAAGGAGAGAAGCCTTGGATAAAAGGGAAGGGGGGGGTCTCGGCAGATCAAGGTGCTTGCCTGCAAGCCTGACAATCTGAGTTCAATCCTTTGGACCCACAGGTGAAAAGAGACAACTGACTCCCAAAAATTGTTCTCTGACCTCTACATATGCACCTTGGCAGGCATACATACACAATTTTTTTAAGAGACAGTCTCTCTATAGCCCCAGCTGACCTAGAACTCGCTATGTAGACCAGGCAGGCTTCCATCACTCAGAGCTCTCTGCCTGCCTCTCCCTCCCAACTACTGGAATCAAAGGCACGTGCCACCACACCTGGCTCTACACGTTTTTTAAAGAGAGAGAAAAAGGCTGGCACCAGGCATGGTAGCTCATGTTTATAATCCCAGCAGCCAGGAGGCTGAGGCAGGAGAATTGCTGTGTTCAAGGTCAGGCTGGGTTTCACAGCAAAACCCTACCCATCTTCAAAAGCAGAGGGCTGGTTGGCTAAGGGTCAGTAAAGCTAAATCTCTTAGGGATAAGAAGGCTTCCTGAGTTGTGGCTTTGAGGTGGCTCTGGGAGGGAACCAGAGGGCAGTTGTGGCTGGGGAGGGGGCAGCACAGAGGCTAGGAGGCTGAGGGAAAGAACTGGGGATAGGGGCTTGAAGGTGGCAATGAGGGCTACAGTAGGAAGGGATTCATGGAAGGTTCTGGGCAGGGAGGGGCATAGACTGGGCTCCCTCTAGAACTGCAGTGAACAGACCATAAAAGGAAGAAGGCAGACACAGGGCTGAGGGCTGCTGGGATGGGTCTAGGGGACAGACCCATCTGCTTCTTTCATTGGTGAAGGCTGGGGTCCTACACCTGGGCCTCTCTTCAGAGGGAACATTTGAACCCTGTGACTTCTGAGTTCAAGCTGAGCCGAATCACCTGCAGAATTTACTGGAAATGCTGAGTCCCAGGCCACCCGAGACTGTTTTAAAAACACCAGAGGGCCAAGTGCGTATGCCCACTCAAGATTTTATCATTCAAAGCCCTAACCTCACCATGATTCCCAGGGCCAGGTGCGCTGATTGTTAAGTGGGCGGTGGGGAAGGCCGTGGGTCTTATCAGCCTCACGGAGAAGCAGAGCTACTGCTCTTCTCATTTGGGATTCAGCTGTTCTCACTCCGGGTTCAACATCTAACGTTCGGAATAACTTCCTTACCAAGTCATGTTCTCTCTCCAAGCCCGGTTTCCTTGCCTGTAACTGGAGCTCTTGACTAGTGGTGAGGTTTACAGGCATCTTGGTAAAAGGTACACAGAACCCCTACCCCAGGCTAGGTGCTGGGAATGTGGCAAGGATGTCACCCACTGGGTGCCGATGGCCGCATCACTTGGCTTTTAGCAGTCTCTGAGGCTGATTGTGAGCTAGCTTCTTAAGTGGCAGTCCAGGGACTTAAGACTTGAAGTTCCCATAGTCCAACTTCAAGCCGCTGACTTTCTAGTTAATTCCGAGATGACCAGGGAGGCGGTCTGCCGCTGCCGCCGCCGCTCCTGCTGCTGCCGCCGCCGCCGCCGCTCCTGCTGCTGCTGCCGCCGCTGCCGCTGCTGCTGCTGCTGCCGCCGCTGCCGCTGCTGCTGCTGCTGCCGCCGCTGCTGCTGCTGCTGCTGCTGGAACTGGAAACTCCCCCAAAAGGCAGATGTGACCTTCACCCTTGAATCCCTGATCCTGTCACCTAAGAGCACCCAGTGTGCCAGGGACAGACTGAAGCAAGGGCAGACTGTTTTAAATCTTTTCATACACTTATTTATTATGCTTGTTTTGTTGGGGTGGGCAGCACCACAAAGGTCAGAGAACAACCCTTGGGAGTTGGTTCTCTCCTTCCGCCATGTGAGTCTGAGGTACCGAACTTAGGTTGTGAGGCTTGGCAGCAAGCACCTTTACCCACCAAGCTATCTCATCCACCCAACAGCAGACTTCTGAGGGGCTGGAGCCTCTGAGGCTATGAATTTGTTCAAATCAAGTGGCTTTCAGGTCTGCTTCTCTGTTTAGTGTGGGGGAAGGCAGGTGGGGAAGGCAGCAGTATCTACCTCAGGGGGCTGTGGAGGGAGGATGGGAATCGACCAGCTCCTCCAGGGAGGCAGGAGGAAGCAAGGTTGGGAGGACAGAGGACTGGGAAATCCTGACTCTGAGCTGCAGTACGACTTTGGTCACTGACTCCACCGCTCTGAGTCCATTGTAAAATTGGGTAGGGGTGGCTTACAGGTTGCTATGGAGATGAGGTAAAAAGTCTTTACACAACTGTGCTTGGCATGTCACAGAAGCGCAATAAATGGTCTCAGTCACTGCTACCATATGAAAATATGAGGAAGAGGAGATGTTGGTTGGGGAGGTAAAAGGTCTTTACACAGCTGTGCTTGGCATGTGACAGAGGCACAATAAATGGTCCCAGTCATTGCTACCATATGAAAATATGAGGAAGAGGAGATGTTGGTTGGGGAGGCATCCTCCCAGGGAAGCCCAGCCCTCCCTCATCATGCCCCACTCCTCCCACACAGCTTCCTTATTGGAGAAGATGGGCTCGTGTATGAGGGCCGGGGCTGGAACATCAAGGGTGCCCACACGGGCCCCACCTGGAACCCCATATCTATTGGCATCACCTTCATGGGTAACTACATGGGTGAGTATTCAATGTTCTGGACTGGGGGAGGTGTGTGGGTTGCAGGCCGGTGACTTTCAATAGTGACTCCAAATCCTGAGTTTCAGTTTTCTCTTTGGATAATGAGGGCCATTTTGACCCCATACTGGGAGTAGCTGATCTATACTCAATCTTAAAAAGGCTAGGTATGATAGTAGACAGATGTAATTCCAGCACTCCAGAAGCAGAGGCAAAAGGATTAGGAGTTCAAGGCCAGCCTCAACTACGTAGTGAAACCCTGTATCAAAAATAAACAGAGAGCAGGGTGTGGTGGTATATGCCTTTAATCCCAGCACTCAGGAGGTAGAGGCAAGTGGGATCTCTGTGATCAAGGCCAGTCTGGTCTATTTAGGGAGTTCTAGGCCAGATGGGACTACAGGGAGATACTATTTCAAAAAAAAATAATAATTAAAATTTTTAAAATAGGGCTAGAGATGTAGCTCAGTTGATAGAATGCACCCCTAGTCTACAACAAGGCCCTGGGCCCACTCACCAGCACTATGCAGTGTACATGCCTGTAGTCCCAGCACTTAGGAGGTAGAAGCAGGAGGATCTGTTCAGGGTCCTCCTCAGCTACCAACGCCAGCTGGGGCTAGAGACCCTGTCTCAAATTAATCAGTTCATTCCTTGGGTACCTAAGAAGTACCTCACAAATGTTTGGTGGGGGCAGGAGGACAGACCAGAGAACAATCATTATGATAGGCAGTGCTTGCTAAGGGTCCCCTCTGTAGTTTATAGAAAGTTAACTATGCTACCTTCCCACAGCCCTGTGAGTAGGCATGTGATTTTCTCTTTCATGGATGAGGAAACGGAAACACAGGTGGTTAAGAGCAGTTTGGAGGGCAGTTTACCCCCTCACTATCTCCACCCTTCAAAGAAGCTGCTGTTTAATTTCTAAATCTAACCCTCTCCTCACAGATCGGGTGCCCCCGCAACGGGCCCTCCGTGCCGCCCTGAGTCTTCTGGAATGTGGGGTCGCTCAGGGATTCCTGAGATCCAACTATGAGATCAAAGGACACCGGGATGTACAGCAGACTCTCTCTCCAGGCGACCAGCTCTATGAAATCATCCAGGGTTGGCCACACTACCGAGCATGAGATCATGTACCAGCCTGAAATCCCACCTGCCTCCTGCTCCCTCCTCCCCACTGGTCACCTCTCCCCCATCTGTCTGCCCATCACAACCCCATCCTCCAATAAAGATGCAGCAACACATGTTCTGAGCATGTTCTACACAACACACACACCTGTCCTCCCTCCCACAAGACCCTAGCCATCACCCGTTCTTCCTACATCCTCCCAGGTAAGCAGAATCCAAAGGTCCTGACCCTGAACCAAGAGCCCAGAGACCTCAGCTCAGAAGCGACCTCACAGATCTGAACCCAGAAGTCTCAGAGCCCAGGAATCAACACCAAGCAAGCCACAATGTCACCCACAGCAGCTCAACAGTCCTTGCAATGTGCACCATGCTGCAAAATATGCCTTTCCCATCATACATCCAGACACATCCTGCTTGGCTTGGACTCCTCTGGAGTCAGGCAGCTTGCTATTACCCTCAGGTTCCTGCCTCAAGCTGCTTTCAATTTTTGTTTAATGTGTCTAAGTGTATCACCTGCATATATGTAAGTGCACCCATGTTGTGCAGTGCCCACGGAGGCCAGAAGAGGGCATTGGATCCCCTAGAACTGGAGTTAGAGACCATTTTTGCCACCATATGGATGCTGGGAACCAAACCCAGGTGTGCTCTTAATAGCTGAGCCATCTCTCCAGCCCCTCAAACTGTTTTAGACAATGTAGAGGTATTTTCTAGGCCTAAAAACTGCCCACCTGCCTCATAGTCACAGCCAGCCAGAAACACTCTGAGGTCTCAATTATCCATCCCATGCCCATTTCTTCCCACCCCACTCCCACCCTTCAATCATACCTGGATGGTCCCAAGGACAAACATGTTTATTTACAAAATGAGCATACCCTCTTCTTCCAGCATTACTGGGTGAGAGGGTGGAATCAGGAGCACTTGGAGCAGTGGGGCATGGGTGGAGCCCTGCCTCCAAGACATACCCACTGATGGTAGGGTGGAGAGCAGGGTACCACCTCCCCAGGGTCATGACCGTGTGTCCAGTTGGTTCATGTATTCTTGCAAAGCCTTCAGGCGGGCATCAATTTCAGCCATGTCAGCCTCCTGGTAGTTGGAGCCGTACTCTGAGAGAGCAGGGGTTGGAGGTTGGGGGGACCATGAAGAGCCTGAAGCTGTAGGGAGCCCTCAGGACAATGCACGGAACTCATTACCACCCCATGAGTTTCTGGGAGCAGAGAGGGTCAGATATGGGGTCCCAGGCTCACCTTTGATGGGAACCCAGTCTCCGGAATTAGCCAGGCATCTCTGAGAATTGCTGTGTTTTCGATGAGCAGACTTCTAGTGAGGAGAGGTAGGGAGGCAGTCAGGCACCCTCCTTCAGTTCCTATCCCCCAAGTCCCAATAGCAATTCTGAATCCAAGGACCACGGGTCACATCAAAAGCATCTCCTTCTGACACAAGAGCCCTCTCTGAGGTAAACCAGTAAAGACTGAGGTACAGAAGGCTGACCAGCACCTTCAGTCACTGAGGGGAGGGAGGTGCTAGGGTTAAGATCCAGCAATTTGACATAGGGTCTCAGGTAACCCAGCTGGCCTCAAACTCATTACATAGCTGAGGATGACCTTGAACTTTCCCTCTTCCCGTCTCCCCTTCTCAAGTGCTGAGATTACAAGTTTGTGCCATAATTCCCAGATTATGTGGTGCTAGAGATAGAACTTTGTGTGTGATGGTAAAGCATTCTACCAGCTGAACTACATCCTCCACCCAAGGCTTAAACTGCATCCAAGATTCCTCCCTCCTGTCCCACGCCCCCGAACACCGTTTTCCAAAGCAATTTCAGCCATCACCTTTGCAACTTGGCCCCCACAAGACAACGAAATCATGGAAAAAAGGAAAGGCTGGTTTCTTGTGCTTTTTTTTTTTACCACAAGAATACTACCCCTACCTTCTCTCAGCCTGGGAAAGACACTCACCGGATTGGACCCACTCCAGGGTGTTGGGCTGGGTGGCTTCCCACGGCCGCGGCAGTGACGCCTGAGAAAAAGAGGGCCATCAAGAGCCAATCGAAGCATCTTATACCTCCCACCTGGCCCACTTTGGTGGTTTTACGACCTCCGGCCTCCATCACCTAACTTCCCTGAAAAAGCCTGCCTCCACCCTCCCCACACACCCTTTCCAGCCAAGTTTACCCTCTGGAGAGTGACTGGGAGAAATCCTCGAATTCGCTGCAGGAGCTAGCGGAGGAGCAGCGGCTGCGGAAACTGTCCACTAGGGGGAGACGGCCGGCGTGAGTTCCCGCGGCCAGTCCCGGCCCTCCCGGCCCCGCCCCGCCCCCCGCGGGCCCGGACCAGTTACCGGAGGGGCTGCGATTCCGAGAGCGGTTAGCAGCGTCCCCTCGGCCGCTCACGGCGGTAGCGGGCCGGGTCTGGCGAGACCAGGAGACGGAAAGGCCGTCCCCGCTGCCTCCACTGCCCAATCGATTCCGCTGCTGCTGCCTAGAAAACCGAAGACACGCGCGCTGTGCACTCAACTGCCGCGGACCAGGGAGTCGCCGCGCCGACGGCCACTGACGTTGGGACACGGACCCGGAAAGCAGCAGAAAGCCGAGCTGCACAGGCGAGGAGGTCTGGACAAGGGCGGGGCCGGACGGAGGCGGGGCCTGGACGGAGGCGGGGCTAAGAGGCCGGAGGCGATGGGGAGGGGGCAAGGCGAGGCGGGACCAAGAGGAGGTGGAGCGAAGAGGAGGCAAGGCCAGAGGAAGAGGTGGGGGCCCAGGGTAGGCGGGGCCAAGGGACGGAGGCTGGAGGAGGCAGAGCCAAGAGGGAGGAGGAGGGGTAGGCAGGCTCAGGGAGGCGGGGCTAAGAGCAGGCAGAGGCAAGCAGGAGGCGGGACTAAGAGAAAAGGCGCTAGGAGATGGGCGAGGCCAGAAGCGAGATCACATGGAGGTTAAGGGGAGAAAGGATTAGGGGACAGGTCTGGAGGACTGGGAGCCGGGCGAGATGAGGTTGGCATCAGGTAAGGCGCAGGGATAGGACTGGGCACTGACTTCATCCTGATCTCTCTCTGCTTCTTCTCCTTGGCTTTCACAAAGGCCGTGGGGTCGAAACGGGGTGCGCGACCACCTACGACAGTGTGGGGAGGAGGCTGGGGGGGGTCACACCATCAGGCCTTCCCGGAGCCCGTCCTTCCGCTTTTCCCCCTGGTAGGGCGGGGCGGGCAGACCTGTGGGCGAGGGTGAGGGGCGGGCCGGTCGGCCGCGACCTCGGGCCCCACGGCCGCTCTCCCGCGACGAGGAGCGGGTGGCCCCGCGGCCTCGAGATGTGGAGCGCTCCCGGGACGAAGAAGCCCGGTCTTCCCGGGCAAGGGCGGGCGCCACTGGCAGGGTCTGTCTCCTGAGAGCAAGGGGCCGGCTGTCAGTTTCCGGCCTGCTCAGAGCCATACCCCCTAGTGTCAGACGCACCTTCCCGGGACCCTCAGGCTCATCCATCATCAACCCCAAAAGTTCCTGCCCTGGCCCGCGACGCTCTCCCGCTCCAAGTCCCACAGATCCCTCTCCAAAACCCCGTCACTTCCCTTCACCCTAACACCTTCGCCTGACTCTTCCTGAGGTCTTTCTAGGGAGCTGTGCTCCCTAGAGCCTCCTTCACTCCAATCCCACGGGCAGAGATCCACCCGCCCTCAGGCTCCGCCCCTTTCCCACCTCCAGGCCCACTCAAGTCCCGCCCAATTACCCACGGCCCCGCCCACCACCTCCTCTGACCCAAACAGGTCACCAGGCCCCGCCCCTCACCCCCGTTTATACAGCGCCAGCTCGCTGTTCAGTGCCTTCAGCCGGGTTCGAAGGCTCTGCTCTGATGCCTTCACCTCCTCGAGCTGCGGAGCAAGAGGGGCGCAGGGGTCAGGGGCAGGCTGGGGTCGGGGCAGGCCGGATCGGAGGTAGACCGGGTTCCGGGACAGGCTGGGATCGGGCAGGCCCGGGTCTGCATCCTCCGCCCCGCTCCTCCGCCTCCCGCCCTCCCTCACCTCCTTGGCCAGGCGGCGGCAGTCTTGGCTTCGCCAGCCCCCCGCCCGACCCCCGAGGCCACGCTCCTGCCGCAGCTCCAGCTCCAGGCTCCGCACAAGCCCGCGCAGCGCTTCAGCCTCCTGGCACGCCACCCGGCCCGCCAGCACCTCCTCTCGGGATCGGCCCAGCTGCGCCTCCAGCTCTCGCTTCTCAGACGCCAGACGAGATACCCTAGCAGGGGAGAGAGGTCAAAAGCAGCCGGGTGGTGCCTCCTCCACCCGGATGGCACGCCTCAGAAAGGGGACCACGGTCCCATCATTCCCAGCTGCTCCCATGGGGAGGGGTGAGGTTCTGTCAACACCCCTCCTGCGTAGCAGTAGCAGGAAGGATGCTGGGACCACATTACCTTCATCCCACACGGAAGACAGGACCACATACACACATGAACAGAGGCATCCTCCCCTGGTAGGGATGAGGTGTGAGGACACAGCTGTCCGCGTTTTGAATTCCATGAATCTTGTGCTCTCCACACCCGGAAAACCCAGCTCTAATGTCCTTGCTCCCACATCCATGACTTTACCAGCCAGCTCACTCACCAGAGGACTCCACCAAAAACAACAGACTAGGTTGCTACCACCCTTAAAAAACCTTTAATAAGATCACACACACACACACACACACACACACACACACACACACACACACACACACAGCTTTTCCTTGCAGCTGTTTATATGTAGCAAGAAGTAAAAGTGACCAGTGTCCGCTGACAGAACAGGCTAAATTTCTGTGGTATGTCCACTAGGTGGAGTACCACATGGCCATGAAAAGGAATGAGCATCCTGCCCCCAGAGGACTGCATGCAGGGTACAGTTTTGTTTTTCCTTCACTTAACCACCCCCCCCCCAAATAAACTCATATCAAGGGCTTCCTTTCACAGGGCATACTTTTGTTTTTACATTTATTTATTGTATGGGTGTATGCACCAGGGCTTATAGATCAGAGAGTTTATTCTCTCCATCCACTAATGTGGGTCTAGGGGATCTCTGGCTACATGGTTAAATCCATCTTTCTGGCTCTCAGGGTTCACAGGGTATAATTTTAAGCAGTGCAGAACAATATGTTTACTAAGTCCCTCTTTGTAAAAGACAGGAGTTATAAATTATATGTTCATATTTTTAAAAAATAGAGGATAATCAGAAACAAAAATGGAGGGCTGCCTATGGAGAAGGATTTGAAATGCAGAGTGGGGAACAGAGATCAAAACAGCCTCTCCAAATGCACCCTCTTTTTCAGCTTTGACTCTGGAACTACAAAAATATTTTATGTAGAGACAGCTCTAGCTATTGCCCAGTCTTGAACGTCTAAGTTCAAGTAATCTTCCTGCCTCAGCTTGCCAAGAAGCCCGAACTATACCAAAGTCAGCCAGAGAGAAAGGGAAGGAGGGAGGGAGGAAAGGCTCCAAGAAACCTAATTGTCTAGTCAATTGTATTTTCATGATGTGACTAAAACACAGTATTTTGGCGAGTGGTATATAAAAAATAAAGGATAAACCTAAGGACAGAAAAGGGCTGAAAGAAATCTAAACCTTTATTCAGAGCTCTCATTACTAGTAACTGTACTGGTTTTATTTATATAAAGAAAGTAATTTTGTTACTATCACTAGAAACTAATTTTTCACATCAAAAAAGACAGAATTTTAAAATCAGGGAGGTAAAGTAAGCACAGGCAGTTCTTTAGGAAGAGTAATAACTGTTCCTAACAATGTACCTATTTCCCACTTCTTGCCACTAAAAAAACCAACATAGTAAGTGCAACATCAATGGATGACCATGAGCACTGGTGAAGACCAGACCGTGATCACTAACACTGCATCTTGCTAAAAGAAATGAAAACTTCTTGGGAAAATGACTTATGACAGTCCTGAGGCTGGAAAGGTACAACTGATGTCTGAGATATTCTGAAATGCCACAAAGCAAGGAAGCCATCAAAGACTACTGGGATCTGGATTGGAGCTGTGCCTCAGTGGTAGAGCAGGACCTATCTGGAATCCCCCAGTGAGGGGCTGGGGACATGGCTGAGTGATAGAGCCCCCTGCCTAGAATCCCCCAGTGAGGGGCTGGGGTGTGTGGCTTGGTAGATCATAGGTCTAAAATCCACCAGCCCACTTCCAATTTTTTTGTTTTTTTTATATTTTATTTATTACTTTTATTTTTATGTACTGCCTGCATGTATGTGAGTGCAGCTGTGTCGTGAAATGCCTGCAAAGGTCAGAAGAGGGTGTCAGATCACTTGGAACTGGAGCTAGGATGGTTGTTAGCCACCGTGTGGGTGCTGGGAACTGAACCCACGATCTCTGCAAGAGCAGCCAGTGCTCTTGACCGCTCAGCCATCTCTCCAGCCCCATGCCGTATACTTTATTCAATAAGACGTTTTTATCATGTTTCTGTGGGGAGAGGTTGGAGACGGATGAGGCTGGAAATATAAAGAGAGATGAAGTGCTCTGATAAATCACTCATCTTTTGAGGACTAGAAATCAGTGGAGAAAAGACAGCATTTGTGTATTTCCACAAAGACAGTAAAAAGAGAAAAATCTCAACCTCACCTCCAAATGGAAGAGTAAGACTCAGTCCATATTTCTTGAAATGGTGACCATTGGCTAGCATTTCTGCAACTCTTCAGTCAGTGTCCAGACATCCTGATCTTGATTTCTATCATTAGCTGGAGAGTTAAATGACTATTTGTGTGACATTGAGGGTATGACCTTATGGCTAGATAAAATATGTTTTCTTGCAGGTTTTTTAAAAATTAACCTGTGAATCCCAATAGAATCATAGAATTTTGAAGTA